GTTTTATCGTCTTGACTCTTTTATTCTCCTTTTCTGTCTTCTTATTATTATTTTTACTACTTTTCAAATTATTTTATTTTTTTCAATGTTTATGTATTCCATTTTTCCTTTTTTTTCTCCTTCCCGTTTATTATTTCATTTTCATTTTTATATGTAGTATATTTTTTCAGATTAGTTTTCTTATAAAAGATCTTTTTCTCACCGTTCTAACTTTTTATTTTATTTTCTTTTTACTGACAGTTATATTCCTTTTTCCCTTTCTTACCTTTATTCTACCACTAATATATTTTTGAGAAAAAAGCCCCAAAATAGGAATAACTAATTCCTAAATGCACAAATAGGACTATGTTATTTATCTTCCCAAAATAGGAATAAAATATTGTTTATCTTTCTTATTCTACATATCTACTCTTACCATAACTTAATAGGATAATCATATTTTACATTATACTCCTATTCAGATAAATAAAGGTAAGAAAAGGAAAAAGGAAATAAATAAGTGTGAATAAAAAGAAAATAAAGTAAAAAGTTAGTACGGCGAGAAAAAAAATCTTTTATATGGAAAGTAATCCGAAAAAATATATATATAAATGAAAAAGAAATACTAAACGGGAAGAAGAAAAAGAAGGAAAAATAGAATACATAAACATTGAAAAAAATAAAAAAAAATTGAAAAGTTATAAAAAAAATAAGAAGACAAAACGGGGGAATAAAAGAGTCAAGACGATAAAAATAAAAAAGGAAAAGTTTTAGGAAGAAAAAAGAAAAATGACATGTGTGCCCGCTTGATGAAGATTTATGAAAGGTGGGATTTGCAAAGAATGAAAAAACCTGAAATAGCAGGTCATCAACCGGTCAGAGACTAACGAATGAAGATGAGATGAAAATGTTGGATTATTCATGAATAACGATAAAGTGGGACCAACGAATGAAGACCGCTAAAAGGTTGGATTATTAATTTCCATTTTCCCTAAAATAAATGTGTTCTAACTTCTAAGTACATGCATGGTTCTTAATTTCAGCTCATATAATTTTGGTTTAGCGTGTGCAAGGAGGAGGAGAAAAGAATACGTACTACGTGCAATATCATGCAATGTTTGGGAAAAAAATGCTACACTTCGAAGGAATGAATGAATAGCTTGTAGAATAATATCTTCACTTTTGGCTTGATTGTCTTAAGGTCTTTACTTGATTACATTGAATCATTCCATCCTGGAGTGAAAATTATATAAAATTTTGAATGTAATGATGAACAATTAATGTGTACAACACCATTATATAATATAAGAGTTTTGTTCCGACAAGGTTTTTATTTATTCAAACAAAATTTTGCCTATACAATTTTACGTATGTGAACATGAAAGGGAATATAAAAATGTTCTTCACACAACTCATCATAGTTATATCTAATCCGATCATCACAAACATAACATCAGACAGATTAAGTCTTATTTGTATCAATAATAGAAAACCTTATTGAACAACATGGTGTATGATCAATTAGTTGTTCAAACAATTGTGTTTAAATTTTAGTCAAGTTAATCAAAATATGGCTATCAATATGCTCAACATGCTAGGCTAGTAGAGTGTACAAAAAAGCCAAGCCAAGCCAACAAGGCAAATGATGTTGACATAACATTAATGGATGAGGTAGAATCTAGCTAATTAATACTCCAAATTAGCTTTTCAGGTTAGTCACAGTGACTCAATCAACATAATGGCAGAAGGTCCATACACCCGTGCGCATCAGAGACTCAGCTTTATTTCAGGTTCTGTGACCTCCATCCGGTCGCTACAGGGATTCGAACCTTGGTCTATTGATCCAAATCTCCCACCACTCGACCAAGTGAGCTACCCGTGCGGATACCAAATTAGCTTTTCAATAAGAAACTAAGGGCCTGATTACTAACAGAGATATTTTTCAAGTTTTCTGGAAAATTGGAAAACTGGAAAATTGAAAACAGAAAACGGGTTTACCGAAGAAAACTGTTGAATAACTGGAGAAAAGAAAACAAAGAAATGTGTTTATTTAATCGTTTTCCAAGACAAAAAAATGAGATATGTCTCTGTTTTCCTAATGAATTGGAGAAGTGACTTTTACTAGTTTTCCAAATTTGGAAAAAGAGGATGTTGCAGTGCCGCTGCGATAAATTTGCATACTTATGCCTAGTGGTGGATACGATCCCCGCTCCGATGTGAGTTCTAGTCCAGTCCGGCTAACGACCCGACAATCCCTTTCTGGTCCGGTCAATGACCCGGTGGTCTGGACTGGTATTGACCTGGCGGTCCCTGTTTGTCCGGTCGAAGGCCGAGCAATCCCGGTCCAGTCCGGTCGACGACTCGACGGTCCTAGTCCGTTCTGGTCGACGAACCGGCGGTCCCTGTCCGGTCTAGTCCATGACCCGGTGGCCCCTTTCCGGCGTGATCCACGACCCAACGGTCCCTTTCCGATCCAATCGATGACTCAACGATCTTGGTCTAGTCCGGACGACGACTCGACGATCCCCGTCCGGTCTGGTCCATGACCCGACGGTCCCTGTTCGGTCCGATCAATGACCTGTTGGTCCCTATTCGGTCCGATCCAAGACCATGTGGTACTTATTCGGTCCGATCGACGGTCGGGCAGTCCGAGTACGATATGGTTTGGTCAATGACTCGGCATCCCCCGTCCGGTCTGGTCAACTACTCGATGGTCTTCGTCTTGCCCGGTCAACCACCCAGCAGTCCCATTTTATCCGATCAACGACCCGGTGGTCCCTATCTTGTCCGGCCAATGACCCGATGGTCTATCTTTAGTTAGATCAACAACCGAGCGGTCCCGGGCTAGTCTCATCAATGACCCGAAAGTCCCTGTCCGTGCCGGTCAATGACCCGGTGGTTCGGTCTCGGTTGTTTGAAATCATTTTTAAAGTGAAGAGTTTTAAAGAGCCGACGAATTGTCAACCAACAGGGAAATGAGAAAAGAATTCGTCAAACTAACCGTTGAGATCGATCGGGACCAACTGATTTTGATCCTACCTTTCCTATACATGGGATCTGGTACTTTACTTGGGTTGTGCTAGGTTCGGTTCCAGACTGGTACTGTACTTTCGATTTTCTGATCGATCACAGAACCGGGTGAAAAAGTTTGATGAACATATTTTCAGATTTGAAAATGGAAAACTAAAAAAGAAAAAAAGAAAATTGGAGATAGAAAAATAGAAAAATGAATACAGAAAATTTGAGAACAGAAAACAAAAAATAGAAAATAGGAAAATATTTCTGTTAGTAAACAAGCTAAGCCCTAAACTTTTTAATTCTGTTTATAAACGTAGCCCACACTGCTGGTGCCTGAATTCTTAATTTTGCTCATCAATTTTACCAATAATTACTCTCTTCACATTTTGTAAAATAAAATATGTGTCCAACGTTTTTGAACATTTTTCTAATAATAAACGTAGCCCACACCGCCGGTGCCTGAATTCTTATTTTTGCTAGTCAATTTTACCAATTACCCTCTTCACATTTTATAAAATATGTGTCAAACTTTTCTCATTATTTATCTAATTCTCCATTCCGCCACTTTATATGTTTAATTTATTCCTCATTTCATATTTTACTTCCTTTAAATTCAAACTACATTTTCAATCTTTTTGAGGAATAAAAATCAGTCTCTATTTAATTTAAATTTATATTAATTTTAGTCAATATATACTTTAGATTTTGGGATGGATGGGATAGATTATCGATCATGGGTGTGAAGTGGGAGTCTTGGACCTATTTTAATTGCAAAATAAGTATGCTTCTAGAACGAAAGAAATTTACAGAGTAAGTAATTGCATAAACAAAAATACGATGTGACAAGCACACATGGAAATATACTTCCTCCGCCCAAACTAAAAATTGCTTGTGCCAACTTTTTTAATGTCAACATAAGTCACTTTTTTAGAGTCAAAATATATAAGTCACTTTAGAAAACTAATAATGCTAATATTTCAAATATTTCCATACAAATCTTCTTATACGTAGTACTTTTTAATTCAAAAAAGTATGATACATTTAAGGTATTTATAGAGGTAGAACTGTAGAAGAATAAACATGTGTGAACTTTTCTAAAAAGACCAAGGAAGACTAAAACTCATATAATGATAAAAGTGCTCTCATTATACTATCTACAATAAATCACTATCAACTAATTAAATTTAGGAAAAAATCTCGAAATAAGAAAATATGTTTCGAAATTCCAAAATATGATTGTTGTATTTTTCTTTCTAAAATTAGAGTAACATGACAATATTTTTGTGATTTTGGAGTCATTATTATCAAAATTGTTGTAGTATTAGACATTAAAATGATAGTATTTTCTGTCATTAATGGTAGTATTTTTCAACCATGACAGTCACGACTCTTATTTTAGAAGTAAAAACACAATACTCATATTTTTGGATTCTAAAACGTTTTTACCCCTATTTAGGGCAACTTCTCTTAAATTTACTCCCTAGCATCATCACTCCACTAGCAAGTTGACTCTCAGGTTACTCAAGATTTACTCTCTTGTTTCTTACTTGAACCCACCTCAACTCGATTCAAACTCGACTCGAACAAAACCAGGTCAAACACTAGCTATATACAAACTCAGTTCAAAAAGTTCGTAAGAGCTGCTCGGTTATGAGTTAATATTGATTTTTTAAATTCATCCACATGAAATTACATCATGTATGTATCCATACATAAAGTATAGATGATTATCTATTTGTTTTATACATGGGAAAGGAGTACAGTATAGATGATTATCTATGGGCTTATGGGTTGAATGATTAAACTTGGAAATAAAACATTATTGGCGTTTTTCTTAGAGAAGTCTCACGTCTTAATCATATGGGATGAACTTTATTATTAGTGTATAGTATGGCCATCCCATCCCTATGAGACTAGTTGTCCGGCCTCTTTAATTAATAGAGAGGCCACTTTAATTTGTATAGAAAAGCTCTACTACAAATACATACTTGTATATGAAGAGGATCAACTCAAGTAGTACACTCTCGTGTATCTTTTCATGAACTGATAGATAAACCTCTTTTTGTGCTCTAACTAGTATCCAAAAAAGTGCTTTCACACATGCAGCACGTCAAGCATCCACTTTCATCAATAAGTTCTGTGACTTCTTTCAACGGAAAGAGGAAACAGACTCCTGATCATCATCATCTGATGGATCTTCATCTTAAGGATGTGTCCTCTTCCTCCTCACAAATATGGAGTACTACTGGAGATGATGATGATGGTTCAGATCACAGGATGAACCCAGAGCTTAACCTTATTGATTGTTTTGAGAGCAGTGCATCTCAAGTTTCATCAGAACAAGATCTGCAAGAAAGCCCATCATCAGAAGATGAGCCAAGAGTATTCTCCTGCAACTATTGCCAAAGAAAGTTCTACAGCTCACAGGCACTTGGAGGTCACCAGAATGCACACAAGAGAGAGAGGACTCTGGCTAAGAAGGAACAGAGGTTGGGACAATACTTCATGGCTGCTGCTGCTGCTTTTGGTGACTCTGCTCATAACCATTACTCTCATCATCATCATCAACCTTTTTCAAGCTTGTCTTCTCTTCCTCTTCAAGGAGGTTTTCACATGCCTCTTGGACTTCAGGCACACTCCATGAGATTGAAGCCTTCTTCTGATTTACTTTTTGCTTCTGCAAATGACAGATGGTCCAAGCCTGGAATCAGCCAAAGGCCATCTGTGAGGAAGCTGTTTGGAGGAAATTGCCAGATTAGTCCAATAAGTGTGTTGCAAAGTGAGAGCGTAGAAAGATCAAGAACAGTGATATCTCTTCAAGATAGCACAACGAGTGATAGTTCTCGAGCAGGTAGGTCAAGTAACTGTTGCAAGAACGACATTGGAGAACTGCACAATCTTGACCTGTCTCTTCGACTCTAAGTTGATTTGCACACACGAACATGATGAGCCATTCTCCCCCATTTTGATCTTTTTTACATGTGTTATATTTTTCTGGGTAATTTTATGTGTACTTCTATGAATAGAAAACTATTATCTAGTCGATCAGCCTCTCTTAACACGCCTCATGTGATGGTTTTTGTACATGTCATTTCCATAATTTTAGACCTCTTTTATTTAAGGTGTTTCGGTGTCAAAATTTTTGATGAAATTTTGTGAGAATGTTCTGCATGACGTACAGATTATGTCGATCAAAATTTCATCTTAAACTTCAATCGAGAAGTCAGTGAAATACATTATTGACAAAGTCACTTTCAGCATGTTGTCATTTCCTCCCTTAATTGGCGTGTACAGGGGCGGACCCAGGAAAACCATTTTAGGGCGAAAATATTTTTTGGATTCAAAATATTTTTTCTGAGGAGAAAATTATTTTTCTCATATATATATACACTAAAAAAAATTCTTGTTGGAGGAGGCGGTAACCCCGGGTCTGTACTAGGGTCCGCCCCTGGGCGTGTTGAAGAAATTCTTGTTTCTTCACTAAACCCAAACGACGCCGTTTGATTACGTATTAAAATAACAGAAAACGACGCCGCTTAGTAGATGGTGTGATTAGGTGAAAGCCGAAACACTGAATATTGAAACCTGAAACGGCGTGCGACTCATAAGGGTATTAACATACGATTAGACCATTGGGTGATTTGTTCCACTTGTTATCATTTTATTAATTACGGAATTGTGGAATTGTGACAACGTGTATGTTTTGATTTTTCAGAATTATTTTGTTCAGCTTGTGATTAATTATTTTACTGTTTTAGGCTGGAATATTTATGATTTTATTTATTTACATTTCATGTTTTATTTATGATTTTTCAGAATTATTTTGTTGAGCTTGTGATTAATTAGTTTACTTTTAGGCTGGAATATTAATAATCTTTAACTAGTTTAGGTATATATATATATATATATATATATATATATATATATATATATATATATATATATATATATATATATATATTTAATTTTATTACTTGTGTAAATAACTGAACTAAATAAAAAGACTAATAGAGAAATTTACAGTACATCACATAATACTCCGGATTTTTTATTCTAATAATTTTATTATTTGTTAGGTTAGCCATTGTCTCGACTTGTTTATTCTTCTAACAATTAAATAATTAATAGTAGTCTAATATATGCATTTTCATATATTTTTCCGTATTTTAAATTTTTGTTACAATTTTCTTTTCCAATGTCATTAGAAGTTGACTAGATTTTCCCTTTTATTTAAATTCCTTCCAGAGGTAATGATGTGTGTTTTATGTGAAAATATTTTCCCTTTAGAAGAAAATATTGAGACGCATGAATTACAATTTTCCTTCCAGAGGTAATGATGTGTGTTTTATGTGATTGGTATCTATTCTAATATAAAAGCAAAATAAGTTTGAGGAATAGTGTTCCCTCAAAAAATGTCAATATCGAGTTTTATTTTAATTTTTATTGGATACTTTATATTGATTGAAATGGGTGGTGGGAATAGTCAAATACTTAAACCTTATTGGTTGAAATGGGTGATGAGAATAGTCAAATATTTAAACTTTATTGGTTGAAATGGGTGGTGGGAATAATCAAATACTTAAATCTTATTGGTTGAAATGAGTGGTGGAAATAATGAAGTTTATTGATTATTTCAAAATTTCTAAAAGATTGCAATGGACTTTGAGCTATAAAAGCAACGTGGATGAAAGAAAGTTTTCACATTCATTCATTCCCATATCAAAGCTCTAATTGCACAATACACAAGTTTTGACATTTATTTCTCTCTATAAGTCGAGTGAGATTCTTTATCTATCTTAGCATAAATATTTGGGAGACAGAAGTTAAAATACGTAGTATCAGATAACTCAACTATTTATGGTGATATATAGGAGGAGGACGAGTTCAGTCTCTTGAAACGAGAGTTTTCTTGAAGCGAAAAGGTGAATATATTCTTATTTTCTAGATGTATTACGTTATTTCAAACCTCACAGTTAGTAGGTATGTGAATTAACACTCTATTTCTTTAATTCCCAACAAGTGGATTCAACAAGCTCTTTGTTGAAATGTTGAATAAAGAAAAGAGAATTGTACTGGAAGTTGATGCAGAAAGAATGAAGATAGATCTGTTTGGAGAATTTTCTTCAACCATGCCTATGAAGAAGATGAAGGGGGTAAAGATTGAGGAGCCTAAGCCTTGATATTATTGATGGGGTTTAACTAATATGTTTTAAGTATGTAGTGCTTAGCACTAAGTTTATTATAGGTATGCATTATCTAAAACCTGGACGCATGAAGAACTTATGTTTAGAAGACAACAAGTTGAGGTACCTTAAGTCAATGTGTTCTCTATGTCTTTTGCTTTTTGAATTTTGTTATTTGTTCGCTCCTAAATGTTCATGCTCCTGCTCAGACATGTACGTTTTAATCTTAATTCATTCCAAAAAAGGAAGTTAGGGCTAAATCTTATATATCCATTGTATAGCATCAACCTACTTAAGTAGTTAACCTACTTATATACAATGGGGTTCATTTCCTATCCAATTAAAAAGTATGTGACTAAAGAACACACTATTAGGTTTTAAGCCTACAACTTTTATACATTTGTTGTCGTACTATTATTAAGCATGATGTTGCGAACACCAGTTTGCTAAAAAACAGATGTAATGTTTTTATTGTGGGTGGACAAAATTAAGGATTTCAGAGACGTACATCGGATTTATGCATCTGTTTCAGTCCTAATTCTATCCTAATCTATACCTAATTATTAAATTATTACATTTCCAACTTACAAATTAAGATGCAACAAACTAAATTAAATTGACATTTCAAATAGGTACAAGTTAAATAAACAACGGTCAACCAAAGAAAAGACATGCATATCAAATGAATGTTGTTAAAAAATATTCAATATTTTTTTACAGTTATCAGTAGTAGATAAGCATATTGTTCATTTTCCTTATTTATGTGAAATGGAGATTAAATTTATGTGAATATACGGATTAAGTGTGTCACTGATGAAAATTAAACATTACTATTTCAGTTCCAAAATGTATAGCCAAATCTTTAAATTTGGACCATGGTTTTGATTAGTATAATATTACGAAAGATTGAAATTTTATACTATTATGAAATGACTTTTAACCAAGAACATTTTCATATTATTTTTATATTATAAAAAAGTTTCTATAAATATATATTATTGCTCAAATTGGTAGTATTATTTTGTAACAATTGATTTCACAAAAAATTGGTTGAAAAAAACATATCATAATTTTATAATTGTAGGTTGAACAAAAAGAAATAATTCAAGAGACATTGATGGAAGGGATATTTTTTTAATAAAGTGTTGTATTTATTAGAGTTGTGCTATTTAAATAAAAAAAGGGCAGTCTTAAAAATAATCAAATTCATAGAAGTCTATGTGTTTGGTGTGTGTTACATCTATGTTGTCTTTTGATATACCGGATCGAGAAGTGCTGGAGTGGAGATTGGATGTTGGGGACAAATAATGGGTAGGCAATAATCGTTTGGAATTTGTTTATGGCAATTCGGGTTTCGGGTTGTTCAACCTCATGAATGAGTTCATCGGTTTCACAACAGTTCGAAATATTTAAAGGTAGGTGGTGTAGTTGTATTTAATGAGATTGGGTTACTATTAATGACACATGGCATGTTTACCCGGGCAATCATTTAGAAAATGAAAACAATATTTGCTAAAACATTTGTGCATTGTGAGGGTGAATTTACTAGAAGGAAGGATTTTAATTTTAACACGAGTTAGTGCGGGAAAGAAGGTGTTAATTTTGAATCATTTCTTAACACCTTAATACGTTAGCCATTGCAATCCCGGACACTAGACTACCTAAACATGACTTATTGTGTCATAAATGTTAATAAAATAAAAAATAGTTGGTGACCCGTGTTGCATGGTTTGTTGTTGAAAACACTTATGTGGATCGTTGCGCTTACCGCTACACTAAAAGCAATCGCTGATAGTGAAGCACGCTCCTCCCCCCTTTATAGCACAAGCGAAGCGCCACGCAGTCCGATTGCACCGGCAGGCTGGCTGTTGCTGGCACCGCATACCCGCGGCCCAACAATCTCCCCCCAGCACCTGCCAGCCTACAACTGCGCAGCATGCTGTTGCCGGGGGTCGAACCCGTGACCTTGGCTCTGATACCACTTGTGGATCGTTGCGCTTACCGCTACACTAAAAGCAATCGCTGATAGTGAAGCACGCTCCTCCCCCCTTTATAGCACAAGCGAAGCGCCACGCAGTCCGATTGCACCGGCAGGCTGGCTGTTGCTGGCACCGCATTCCCGCGGCCCAACATAAGGGCCCTGCAGCGGGGGACCGATACGTCGAGGCCGAGGAGGTGGAGAAATGCCACCATGTTCCAGATCAGCAACGCCCTCGGCCGGAAGACAAAGGTAACCGGGGGCCAGGGGCTCCCCGCAATCATCCCATGGATTCTGCCCCCTCCGGTGATCGCCCCCGGCATGGCTAAGCCAAGCCTGGGGGAGGCTACAAGGGGAACCCGAGGGCTTGGGCACAGCCTGTCCTCCTGGAGCACCCTCGGACGCCATTGACGCATCCCGTCAGCGTTATTCTTGATTTTGCTGAAGAAAGGGGCCTCGTGGAGCGAGATTCACGCGCGCCCTCAGAGGTATTTGCCATCAATCCGAACTACCCCTACTGTCGTTTCCACCGACACCAGGGGCACAGGACCGATGATTGCCATCAGCTGAAGACGGCCATCGAGAGATTAATACAAGCGGGCCATTTGTCCCAGTTTGTCCAGGGCCCTCATCAACATGCCCCCCCTCATCAGGGGCCACCCCGAGGGCAAACTGCGAGAGCGAATGCATGGGTCAACCCCAACACCATCCCCCTCGGCAAGAAGAGGGAGATTGGAAATCTGGAGGAAGAGGAGGAGGAGTACCCCCGGTACCAAGAAAAGAAACGCCACATCCTCATGATTACGGGGGGAAATACCGGGGGTGACTCTACGAGTCAACGAAAGAAGTGGGCTCAATCACTTTACGTGGGGGAAGTCACTCATTTGCCCCCAGTAAAGCGGCTGAGGGAGGAACCCATTATCTTCACCAACACTGATCTCCCCC